TTCTCGAGAAATATATTTCTAATATTGATGAAGGCACCTTTGCCTATTGAATTTTAAAATTTCTTGATTACATGATTAGCGCAAGTTTGTACATCCATTATGGTGTATCAATTTGACAAGTTTCATATATTTAAAATAATTCATGCGAGTTTGATCTTGAGAATGAAAATTTGACTTCCAAAAATAATTATTTCTCTCGCATGTTTGAAACGAAATTTCTAAGAGAACTCTATACAGAATACTGCTGCTAACGGCAGTTTCGTTAGTCCGTAGCGCGTTGTGGTTAAACATTAGCTAGTTTGTTTTGTGAGTTTTATTCTCACGTTTGGTATTCATGGGCTTCGTAGTCGCTTTTGATTTCGTGGCATAAGCCGCGTTTAGTTATTTATCCTCGTGGACTGTTCTGTTGAGTTCTCAAAATTTTAAATGTTGATTAATATGTGTTTTCAAAATTTACCTAATTTTGACTAGTAATTTGTATCACTTTGAGTTATATGAGAGTAGATTGTTTTCTTTTAGCATGATAACATAAATTGTTTTCAATTTATTCTTATATTTACAAATATGATTATGACTTACATGTTTATAAATTTTGGTGGAATTACTTTCAATTATCTGACACCATTATTAGAGATTGTCAATTTAAATTTTAAGAATTTTACCATGGAAATGCTATTCACTGGAAAAATTATTTGGCCTCAGATTGGTTAGCTGACGCCGATCCCACCATCGACCTCTAAAAGGACAACTAGCTACAGTGGGTGGACATTTTGATTGGTATTGTTGCTTTAATGTAAATATATAATTTGTACGTCTTTTTGATTTGAAAGAAAGAGTAGATGCTCCACATAGGTTGTTGATAAACCTTATTTTTGTTCTGTATATTAGTTGTTGGCTGGAAGGAGCTACGCTCCTGATTTATATTGTTATTTATAAAAAAAAAGTTTTATTGTAGAATTTTTGGGAGATCCTAGTTACAGGGGAGGTTTTGTCGAAATTTCTACAAAAACATCAACAACTTTTTTATGATAATGAATTTAAAGAAGTTATTTTAATTCTCATGTGATTTGATTGAATTTTGTTCTTTTCTTGTAAAATGGAATAAATATTCTTGGAGGCTTACAGGAATGTGAGAGTGGTTCATACCCGTGCTGATTACCCTATATTTTTGGGGCGTAACATTAATGCCCGCCCCTCTAATTAAAAAAAAACATTGCAAGTTGATACTTAATAATAGGGTAATGTAGCGTCATTTGTGAATGATGATCGGTGATTCATGGTGATTGAACAAATATTAGATAAGTATTTTTTTTTATTGTTTACAGTTATCCTCTTATTGGAGGCAATTATGTTCGAAACACAGTTAAGTACTAAGTATGGATGTTTCTTATATCAACGATTCAAACATTGATTTGGCACGTTGTGAAGAATCAGTTTCTTTTGCTAGACCAAACACAATTGGTATTTTATTGGTATTTTTTAAAAAGAGGTAAAGTTACTATTAGTATTTGTTTTTCAAAGACATTAAAATTTATTTGTTTCTCAAAATTATAACTGGGTCTTTTCAAAATTACGAGAACATTTTAAATTTATTTAAGCTCAATGAATGAGAAAGAAAAAATATGAATCAATTGGAGGAAGTTTACTTAATAAGAAAGAATTCAATGTTTGTTTGAGAGTAGAAACAAATTGACAAACCTAACTTTTAAAATCTCTCTCTCTCTCCCTCTATATCGCTTTGATGCTAAATTGATGCAATACAAAGTTTTTTTTTTTAAAAAAAAAAACATGATATGCATTAGCATTAAAAAAATGAATAAAATTCCTATACAAACAATACGGATAGTTAGCCAAATCCTAAAAGAAATGTTTTCCTTCTAGTCCATAATGTTTCTAAAATGAGCCTAGGAAAAAATAAGGGTAAAGGTGAATTTTGTTCCTAGAGTATTGTTCAAAGAACATCCAATACTTTAAAATATTTGTTGGAGCATTTTTGCTTCTAAAGTAATAAAATGGAAGCATCCTCTACCTTGCTATTTAAATCTTTATAAACGTAAATTAAGTCAGAATTTAGTCCAAGTTAACTTTTTCTAATGAACATTTATGAAAATTTAATGACAGGGTAGATGATGCTCTGATTTAATTACTTTAGGAGCGAAAATGCTTAAACAAATATTTTAAGATATTGGGGGTTTTTTAGAAAATACTTTAAAATAAAAATTATACTTTTACCCAAAAATAATAAACCACCCACATGAGAGGAATAAAATTTTAGTTGTTGATCAATAAAATAATTTTTCATTCCATACGAAAAGGAAAAAATAATTTTTTACTAAAAATATTTTAATAATAGACAAGAATTATCTTTAAACCCTTAACACGATTAGGTAGAAATATACTGAGTTCAATAGGAGATGAGAATTCAAAAGGAAGGGTCAATTATTGAAGCTTACAAAGTAAAAGCTACTAGATTTCACTTGAACTTAACTGATTGAGACTTGACATTGATCAATAGTAGCGGACATGCTTCTTGTGGTGGGTTATTTAGAGACAACGAAAAGACATGGAGATTTGGGTTTATAAAGAAACTTTGTTATATTTCCAGCATGAAGGCGAAGCTCATGGTCATTCACCACCAAACGGCCAACTTTGATTGGGGTTACATAGCCAACTTTGACAATTATTGGACTATCAATATCAACCAAGTTTAGGAACTTTAAATTTCAATTCACTTTTAGCCACCCTCCTCTATCACCTGATGCCGATTTGTTGTTGTTGTCATCATTCAATGTTGGTCTAGTACCTTCATTTTGTGTCAGTTTGCTACCATCGTTCAGTTCTGGCCCGTCGCATTCAATAGGTGTCGGTCTATAGTCATCTTTGCCATCTGGGACTAGCTTATCAAGACCATCTTCAATCCATCTACCTATGTAATCTGGTGCCAAACGCTACTATTAATAGAGAATGATTTTGTGTCATCATTTAGGTCCAATTTGCAGCCCTTAAATTGCCATAATCACCCTATGCTAATTCGTAGGTGTTGTTTGAGATTGGATTGTCGATGTCAATTGGAATTGGGCTATTGCTACCAATCAAGATTGGGTCATTGACGTTATCCAAGTTCGAACAGTTGAAGTTGACTGAGATCAAGCCACTGCCCTTAATTTGAATTGGACCATCAACTTTGACTAAAACTGAATTATTAACACTGTTCGAGTTACCTTTAAATTCAAATATAGAATTTAAAATTTAAAATTTTATTTGAGATTCATATAAAAAATTTTAATATTATAATTTAAAATTTTTTATATTATTCAAATAAAAAATTCAAATTTTTTGAATTTTAAATGTGAAATTTTAAAGTTAAATTCCTAATCTAAATCTTCCTATCTAAACACAATCTAGAAGATTGGAACAGGTTGTAATTAGTTTAAGGTCATGTTTGATCATGAAGGATTCGAATGTTTCTTTCTTTGTTGTAATTAAATTTAATAGGTAATAATGATGCAAACATGTTGGAAGCTAAGTATTAGAAACATGATTGGATGGAACAAATAAAAGAGACTTGTTGATGCCTGATTGGATAGTGTGACTTTCCACATTTGACTTTCTAGGAAAAGATGAAATCTTTCAAATGATCCATTTGATAGCCAATCCGAGTGCGATAGCAATTATTGTCATTCATTACTCTCATCAATCTCATGTATAAGTGACTTCAAATTATCTCACCATGAGTTTGATACTGTATTAAAATATTACTCTACTCAGAAAATTATAAAAAGATAAAATTAAAATAAAATAATTAATAACCCGTCTTTTTATGTAAAGTAACTTAAAAAAAGAATAATCATTTTTTTTTGGTAGAATGTGATTTATATATTAGATCTGAAAGAATATTTAAGAAAAGAAAAGTAGAACAATGTTGGTGAGTTATAGCTTCTTCTATGTTCGTGTGTTCATTTGATAGCTTCTGGCTTGAAAGCAAGCACCCCTCCCTTCAACCTCATATATAAATCACTTCTAACTATTTCACTAAAATTAATAATTAAAAAAATGTAGTTAAATTTGATGTTACCTGAAAAAGATTTCTGTTTTTTCAATTTATCTTTATTAAAAATGTATCACCATTGACATTATTTTCTCTAATATATAATCTTTTACTTTATTCATAGAAAATTGAAAGAGTAAAATTGAAAAAAAAGAGTTAATGATTCATTTTCTTTATGCAAAGCGATTTATAAAAAAGACCATCAATTCTTTTTAGAGAGTAACTTATATATAGAAGTAAAGGGAATATTTAAAAAATAAAAAATAAAACATGGATCTATGGTTTTGTTGTCTCACTCATAATTAATGAATGAAACACCACGAGGATTGGTTGGATTAACAAATGACTAGCAAGATTTGTAATAACTTTTAACAGATATAATATATCGAAGATTGTGGGATCGAATCAGCATAAAGTTGGATTAATGGGGAGAAAATGTCAAAGGAGTATCCGATGAACTAAATAACACAATTGGAGAATGGGACCCACATATGAGGGACATAATTATGCAACACTCATTCCCATTAAGTCACTAATGGTCTATTAAGCACAGCTAGACCACACTAAAGAACGAGCACATGTAAATCAGTACATAAAGAAATACATGGAAATGGCAAATGAAAACCAAAAATTGAAGCAACGTGTTTATTTTCATAAACCCATTTCATGGAAAGCTTATGGAAAATCGCCATATCAAAAGGATACCATGAATTGCCTTCAAACGCAACGTTTTGCTTAAACAATTTTCCCACATCATTTGCCTTCCCATGTCTCAATCTTGTTTGTTTGGCCAAAACAAAAACTCATCCATCATGAGGCGCTCTCAATTATAGCCAAATTTCATCAGTATCTAAAATATCTAGGTCGAATCTAAAAATTCTAGCAAACCATACTACTCATGAGATAGTGTGGCTTATTTTTCAGACTTATTTCTCGAACACAAGACCCACACTAATTAGAATTCAGTAACCATCTTGTATCTAAGAAGTTCATAATCCTCAGCATTTAGACATTCATAAATCAAAGTCAAAAAATAACCTCCAAAATTGATTAAATTAGAATATTGTCACCTTCGATAATAAAAAGCTTAAAATAGAGGCTGCTCCAAATTCACAAAGGCAGTATTGGCCCACAAAAGCTGATAATCATTACATCACATGCCCGTGAATGCCTTCTTCACACCACTGGAAGATCCAGCTGGAATCACTTTTAACACATTGAACCTCACTGTCTTTGAGAGTGGCCTTAAAAACATAATGAAAATGAAGAGAATCAGTGATGACCAGATTAAGGCGTACAAGTAGTTTACAACAACAATATCCTGAACTTAATGCAACCAATAAAGTTTGTCATATAAGTTCTAACCTGCACTGGCCAATAATAACATGATCTCCCTCCTTTACACGAAAGCAAGGTGATATGTGAGCAGCAATGTTTGAGTGCCTCTTCTCATATCTACATATATATAAGACAGAATTGAGAGAAACAGGTGAAAATTAAAAATTATGCTGGACCAAGAGTGCAAAGGCTGTATAAAATGAAAAATGAGTGTGACAGCCAGTCGAGAGAGAATACCTCTGGTACTTCTTGACAAAGTGAAGATAGTTCCTTCTAACAATAATAGTTCTTGTCATCTTAGCACTATGACAAGTGCCAGCTAGGATACGACCCCTGATAGAAACAGTACCGGTGAAGGGGCACTTCTTATCAATGTAGGTTCCTGTAAACACACACACACACACACACACACACACACACACACACACACACACAAAGACCTTGCATAAGTAGAAGCATATATAAACAGTGGACGAAGAAATAACCAATCATTCATATTGAATGCTACAATGACATGTATAATCACAAATAAGCAATGCTAGTTTGTATGCTAGTCCAACACAATATAACAACAGAACAGAGTTACACTAGAAACGGTATCTCAACAGATTTTGGATCAAGTGAAGCCATTAATAGCCATTAATAAAAAGGGCATCTCTACCACAATCATATACTTCTATTAACAATATATTGCTAGGACATCTAGAGTTAGACCGTTCCTATCATGTCTCATTCAAAATACTACTTAACCTGGCAACAAGCAAACCAGGACATTCAATGCAATATACAGGTTTCCACATCAAAATAAAAAATGATGAGTGTATCTGGAGAACACTCCAATTAAGGTTTAAGCGCTAATTTCAGCAGAGTTAAGCATGTGGACTAGATGGCAATACGCATTATTAGGTTACAATGGCACAGACGATAATTACCAGTAACCTAAGTGTAGAACTTACGATTCAACCTTCGTCCCGAAAAAATAAAAATACAAATACAAATACAAAAGACAAAATAAACTAACTATGCTAATGCTACCAAATTTATCAACACCTCATATAAACAAAATTTAACAGATACATCAGACGAAATCAATTGTAAACCCTATTCACAATAATGACCTAATACATAAACAGGCAACAAAACAAATTACAATTTACAGAGATAAATGATAGGACTTAAAGCGACAACCTTCAATAGCTTCCCTGGGAGTCTTGAAGCCAAGACCAATAGACTTCCAAAAGCGATTCCCTCCTTTTCCAGGCCTCTTTCCCTTCCCAGATTTCTTCGAGCTTCAAAAGCGGAAGCGGCCACAAACAAGTTAACAAATCAAAAACGCATCGACGGCAAACTTGAAAGAACACAAATGAAGAAATAGACCAATTCATTTCTGCGCATCTGCGTACCTTAGAAACACTCTTGGTTGCTTGAGAAAAGCCTTCTCAGTCTGCCAAAAGAAAAACAAACAACAAATCAATGAGTGAAAGATCGAAAACTAGGAATTCCTGACACAATCAAATGGAAATAAGGATCTGAATTTACTTGTTCAGCCATGGTTGAGGCTCTAGGGCTGCGTTAGGGAACAAAGTGGCGAAATGCGAAGCGTGCGAGAGCCGTAGCCACAAACCCTAACCAGATTTATGATGATTTGATGAAGCTTGATGGCCGCCATTTTTTTGTTTTGGTCTGCTTAACTAATGGGCCTCAGTTAAAGCCCAAAGCATGGGCTTTAAGAAATTCTATTACAATTTGGACCTGAAGAACCAATAGTAGACCAGTTCATGGGTATGGGCATGAGCTTTTTTTTAAAGACCCAATCAAGCCTACTTTAATGTTTTTTTTCCCTGGTAAACAGATTAAACAAAAAAACCTAGCTTCATTTTTGTTTTGCCTTAAGCAAGAGAACTACACATTTCCCAGATGAGTTAAAGAAAATGATATCTGTTAGAAATTTAAAAATGTAAAGGTTAAATACAAACAGAAAGTTACAGACCATTTATATTATATAAATATAGATATATATCATACATTATACAATAACATGATATGATTTTTTGTCAGAAGAATTTATCAATAACCGAACATAGGTATAATTAATGATTTTTTTAATTCTTCAGTCACGACACAGTTGTTTACACATATAACCTGAATGATGCCGCTGTTGCCGCTTAAATTTCTCAGGCTATGTTTGGATATATTTGAATTTGAATTTGGAATAAATCCCCAATTTGGACACTTAAATTTTATGGATTAATCTACATTTTATCTTAATTCTTTTTTGAAATTTTTTTCTAAATCCTTATTCATTCAAATCTCTTTACGTAACCTCAAAAAATTATCTAATAGTAATTTTTTTATTATTTAATTTATCTAAATAAAAAATTTTAAATTCAAAAACTTGAAATGTGAGATTTTAAATTTAAATCTATCAATTCAAATATTATGTAAGTTCATATATTATTTGTGAAATTTCTATTTACGTTTTGGATTTGGCACCGAGTCACCGATGAATTGTGGACCGATCATTGGCTCTTGATGAGAGCAATCCAAGCATTAGTGCAATAACATTTGATGGAGGGTTTGAATAGCCTTCGTGGGTTTGCATTGAGCCATGACACCACATTTATGCCCATTATTGTACAAGTCAGCCCACGTTAGAATGACCCTTCATTTAGTAGGTCCATTTTGTTGCTTGGAAAGAAAGTAGGGCTTTTGGCCCATTTTATTCACCCTCCCTGCGCAACCAACTATTCATTCCAACAATCAATTGTGGTTAGGTTTGCTGAGAGAAATGTCTACATTTAATACTCGACTGTGCTTCGAACAATATTACCTCTAATAGAAAAATATATGTGAGTAATAAAAAAATAAAAGTTGAGTTTAGTAAAAAGAGTTAAACCCTTATAATATGATGAATTAACGTTTGAATTCTTGTTGACAAATGTGCTCATATCCAATACTTGATCCTACCTCAAATAAAATTGCTTTCAATAGAAGGATATTTGCTTTAAAAAAAACTTTTCATTCTAACATGGAGTAGAAGGGATTTAATACACTTTAAATAATACTCAAATTTAAAAATACCAAATACTATAGGGTATAAACAGAAAAAACAAAATGTGATTGTACCTGAAATTTTTATTTTGTTTTTATCTTTATACTCTCTAGTTCTAAATATATGATCTTATAACTAATTTATATTATTAAAAATGAGTTAAATTAATTGTTTATAAAAAAATTCTAATCATTTCCCTTAAAATACCCGTCCTCTACCCATATTCATACACTCTAGAGGACCAAACTTTTTAACTTGTTTCTACATTTGTAACTTCTACACTACATCTTCCCACTCTTTCTAGGTAAATGCTTCTTTCCACTTATTTCTACAATACTTGTGGAAGGCCAAACCTTCCTCTAAAAGTCTGGAGGATATGTTGGGATCACAGCACAAAAAAAGATTTAGGTGTAATTATTTATTAATATTAGAAATAAAAATTATGCATGAGCTTCTCTTACAAAAAAAAAATTGATGCATTTAAATTAAATGATCATTAACATGAGATTTTCATTTGGAAGAATTACAAATAAATACCGTATAAGAAATTTATTTATAAATAAATCTCATAAATTTATAAATATACATATAAGTTTCATGAGACTTTATTTTAATTAATTTATCATTAAAATGATACAAATGCCCTTTAGTTCCCACACTTTTGACTAGCATTGACCAACCACCAAAGGTCATTAAGCCATCAAAATATAATTTTATTGAAATATTGATATATTTTTATTTAAGTGTCAAACATACATTTTTACAAGTAAATCTTAAAAAATTTATATCTCAAACTTCCCACATTTACAAGTTGACTTCTTGTGAGAAATTTAATCTATAAGCCCTTCTAGTGTACCTCAATTTTAAATTACGTCCTTATAGTTTATTTTATTTTAATCAAGTCTTTATAGTTTAATTGATTAAATATGTTAATCCCTATAGGTTAAAATCCTTGAATTTTTTCTTTTACAAATAAAATTAAGAATTTTTATTAAAAGATTAATAATTTTAGTAAGAATCCAATCAATTCTTTCTTTCATCATGTTCTTTACCAAACTAAACTTGTCTCCATTGGTATTTATATCATTAGTTAGGTATAAATACCATATCTAAATTGCTTCATTGATGTTTCATTTATTTGGCCCCAGTGTTATCTTCTTTGTTCAAATATAAGCTAAAATCACCTAATACGATCCATGGATCTGATATAATTCGACTAACAGAAATAATATCCCCCAAAAGATGTTTTCTCCTTTAGCTATTAATTAGGTTTAGCATAAATATTGGTTAGCCAAAAGAAAGAGTTTTTATTTTTAACATTTACTTTATCGTGGAGAAACTGAGTAAAGGAGGTGATGAAAGAAATATTAATATCATCATCATTCCAATGGATAATGGGGTATTTTACATAGATTTATATATGATTTCTGCCTTTATTTTGACTAATTAATGTGTGATTTAAAGATATAATGAGATAAAAATACCTCATATGAAGATTTTGGTGCATTTATATGAAAGAGAGACAAAATAACATGAAAGACACCATAAAACACGAAGCCTAGAGTGAAGGACCATGGAATCAGGCTAAAAAGTCCTCTTCACTTGCAGACAAACCTGTGAAGCCTTCATCTACTCGTAGATGTAGCTCACAGTGAAGATTAGGAGCCGTCTCACACCTGATCGCTTGTGGATGAGTCATGAAGAAGCCAAACTGCTCACGGGTGGAGTGAAAGAAAGTAGCCTGTATGCCCTTCTACCATGAGCGGACTAGAGTACTAAAGCCATGACTACTCATAGATAAAGAAGCTAGGGATGAAAATAAATTCTAGGCTTAATATCTTATATTGGATATTGGCATATCAGATAAGACAAGACATGATTTGGATATATTCTAGGCTTAAGAGCATTGGATTTATTATAAATAAACCTTTAAAAAGCCTCTCAACCAATCCAATCTTATATCTGAAGGCTAGGAGGTATATTGAGTTCAGAGGAGTTCTTCCAAGTTAGGAGATTTATCTCTTCTCTTCATCTTTATATTTTTTTTTATGTTTTTTATTTGAAATTATAGTTTTAACTCTATGGCTTCTCGCTAAACTCCCTGTCAGGGTAGGAAGTAGCCTAACTAGGATAGATTTCGTTCTTTATTTGGTTTTGATTATTTTTTTATTGAAAAATAATTTTTATCTATGAGAATTTATATTTTCTTTTATATTTATCTCTCATTTTAATTACTTTTTATATAGACACCCACTATATAATTTGTTCGTGGGTAGTTTGATGAATTAAAAGGTGAAGAACTTACCTAGACCTAAAGAAATAGAAGTAGGTAACTAAATTGGAAATAATTTAGGAGTCTATGCGCTTAGATTGTAGCTTCATGATTTACTTAAAGAGTAGAATATAGTGGGAGCTAGAGTTAGCTCTAATTAGATACACTCTAATATACTGGAAGGAAATTATGACACATTAGAAATACTCATCATTGTAGATAAGGGAAGATAATTAATTGAACTAGATAATCCATCCTAATAGGTAAATCCTACTCTCCAACGTTCATTTGATTGGTGTAATATCCACCTTAATATTACCAACACAAAACATGAACACATAACAACATTATAATAACTGAGATTAATTAATTCCTTATGTAAAACTATTATAACACAAGGGATTAAAATCAAGTTTAAAAGATTTGGAATCCTAACAAACCATTTTGAAAAGATGCTTGAGATCAAATTATGGTTTAAAACAAGTGAAAATAATACAAATTAATACGTATAAGGATTAATAGAGATCAATTTACGCATTTCAAATTGTACCATCTATCGTGGCACATGTGTCATCCGTCGCAGAGGATGGCACAGAAGATCACTCCCCTCATTATGTAATGCACCACGGTGCAAACTGTTGTCATGATAGAACACCAAGACTAATTTTTGAAGAGCTTTGTTTCGCCATCAGATGTTCATTTTGAGTGATTTAAGTATCCAGATATAGCTTATAGAGTCACCTAGTTATTAGCACTGATTTCACAATCAAACATTTCCCAAATTAAATTTTGAACATTCGGACACAAAATGTATCTTTTCCATTTCAAAATGCACACAAGGGTGTTTAAACCTACTAACTAAGTGCCAATAACCCTAGAACCACTTGAAATAGCTCAAATGAACCACAATCAACCTGATTGAGCAATCATAAAACAACAATTATATCCCAAACATAAATTGGCCATCAAAATCCTAAATTCACATAATTCAATAGGCTTAGGCAATAACACACTTAATCATCCATACATATACAAACATCACAATATTGTCACTTATACTAGTATTTCAACCTCTAACAAAATTTTTATTACAAATACATCATTTCATGTTGAGATACCCACAATTACACATTTCCATGCAAGTGAACCTAAAATTAATATATGATCCTAAGTTAGCATATATGTCATAAATTATTCATTACAATACCCAAAGGAGAGGGAAAGAGCTATATAAACTTAAGCTTTTCAATTCTTAGTAGTATCTTTCTTTCATTTTTCCCTATCAGAGACAACATCTATAAAATATAATCATAGGGGTGAGTTAAGGACTCGATA